TACCACATTTCAAGTTATACTACAAAGCCACTGTAATCAAAACAGCCTGGTACTGGCACAAGAACAGACAAATAGACCAGTGGAACAGAACAGAGAACCCAGAAATGGATCCAAGGCAATATGCTCAATTAATATTTGACAGTGGTGGCAAGAGCATACAGTGGAGTCAAGACAGTTTCTTCAATAAATGGTGTTGAGAAAACTGGACAACTGCTTGCAAAAAAAATGAAGCTAGACCACCAACTTACACCCTACACAAGAATAAACTCAAAAAGGATAAAAGACTTAAATGTGAATCATGAATCCATAAAAATCCTAGAAGAAACTGTAAACAACAAAACTTCAGACATCATATGCAGCAGAATTTTCACTGATACATCACCGAAGGCAATAGAAACAAAAGAGAAAATGAACACATGGGACTACATCAAACTCAAAAGCTTCTGCACAGCAAAAGATACAATTATCAAAACGGAAAGGCTCCCCATTGTTTGGGAGAGCATAATTGCCAATGATATATCAGATAAGGGTTTAATTTCCAATATACAGAGAGTACTCATACAACTCAACAAAAGGAAGACAAAGAACCCAATTAAAAAATGGGCAGAGGAACTAAAGAGACACCTCTCCAAACAGGACATACAAATGGCTAAGAGACATATGAAGGAATGCTCAACATCATTAATCATCAGAGAGATGCAAATTAAAACAACAATGATGTATCACCTCACACCTGTCAGAATGGCTGCCATCAACAAATCATCAAACTACAAGTGTTGACGAGGGTGTGGAGAAAAGGGCACTCTAGTACACTGCTGGTGGGAATGCAGATTGCTGCAGCCACTATGGAAAACAATATGGTGTTACCTCAAAAAAATAAAAATTGAACTTCCATTTGTCCCAGTGATCCCACTGCTGGGAATATACCCTAAGAAGCCTGAAACACCAATCAGAAAGAATATATTTACCACCATGTTTGTAGCAGCACTATTTACAATAGCTAAGATCTGGAAACAGCTCAAATGTCCATCAGTAGACGAATGGATAAAAAAGCTGTGGTACATATACACAATGGGGAACTATGCAGCTGTATGAAAGAAAGATCTCTTATCTTTTGGGACGACATGGAGGGACCTGGAAAGTATTATCTTAAGCAAAACAAACCAAACAAAGAAAGAGAAGCATCATGTGATCTCACTTATTTGTGGACTATAAAGAACATAACAGTCTGAGGAACAGGGTAGTCCCAGAGACGTGGAGTGGGGTATAGACTGACAATCCTCAGAAGAGCGGCGGGGGGGGGGGGGGAGATAAACCACAGAATTTATATGCATGTATGCATGAACAATGGACATGGACAACAAAGCTGGGGACAGGGCAGGGAGGGAGGCAGAGAGGGGAATCAGTGGGGAGAAAAAGAGAAACATCTGTAACAAAAATAAATGAAATAATTAATAAAAAAAAATACTGGCTTTACCAATCAAAAGGGGAAAAAACAGAGGGAATCAACAGTAGATTAGATAAAGCAGAGGAACAAATCAGCAATTTGGAAGTAAGGTGATGAAAGCACCCCATCAGAATAGCAAAAAGAACAAAATAATTAAGAAAATAAAGAATAGTTTTAGGGTTTTCTGGGACAACATCAAGCATACCTACATTCACAACATAAGCATACGAATAGGAGAAGAGAATGAGCAAGGAACAAAAACCTATCTGAAGAAATAATTTGGAAAAACGTTCTAACCTAGTGAAGGAAGTAAACATAAATGTTCAGGAAGCACAGAGAGTCCCAGACAAGATGAATCCAAAGAGGCCCACAGCAAGCCAAAGGTTTAAAACAGAGAAGCTTAAAAGCAGTAGAGAAAAGCAGTTAACTACCTACAAAGGATCTTCCGTAAGACTGTCGGCTAGTTTCTCAACAGAATATTTGCAGGCCAGCAGGGATTGGCAAGAAATATTCAAAGTGATGAAAAGCAAGGACCTATGGCTGAGATTACTCAACTCAGCAAGACTATCATTTAGACTTGGACAGATAAGATCTTCCCAGACCAAAAAAATAAAAAGGCTAAAGGAGTTAATCACCACCAAACCAATATTACAATAAATATTAAAGGAACAATAAGATGGCAATAGCATATCCATCAATAACTACTTTAAATGTATATGGTTTAAATGCTCCAGTCAAAAGACATAGTTTGACTAAGTGAATAAGAAAATAAGACCCTTATATATGCTGCCTATAAGAGACTCACTTCTAATCAAAACACACACAGGCAAAATAAAGAGATGAAAAAAATATACTTCATAAAATTAGAAACAACAACAAAAAAGAAGAAGATGATTAGCAATACTTATACTAAATAAAATAGACACTAAAACAAAGGCTATAGAAAGAGACAAAGAAGGACCCAGAAATTCCACTTCTGGGTATTTATCTGAAGAAACCAAAAACACTAATTCAAAAGACATATGTACACATATGTTCATTGTAGCATTATTTAAAATAGGCAAGATATGGCCCTGGCCAGTTTGGCTCAGCGGTTAGAGCCTCAGCCCATGGACTGAAGAGTTCCGGGTTCGGTTTCCTAAGGGCACTACCTCGGTTGCAGTTTGTCCCCGACCCTGGTTGGGGTTGTGTGGGTGGCAACCACTCAATGTGTCTTTCTCACATCGATGTTTCTCTCTCTCTTCCTCCCTCTCTCCCTCCCGCTCTATCTGAAGATAGATGCAAAAGTGTCCTCAGGTGAGGATTTAAAAAAATAAAATAGGCAAGATTTGGAAGCAACCTAAGTGTCCCTCAATAATGAATGGATAAAAAAAAATGGTAAATATATACACAATGGGGTATTCGTCATTAAAAAAAATAAAAATAAATAAAAAAGAAACCTTGCCATTTGGTTCAACATGGATGGACCTAGAGGGTATTATACTAAGTGAAATTAAGTCAGAGTAACACTTATATGTGGAATCTAAAAAACAAAATAAATGAACAAACAAAATAGAAACAAGCTCATAGATACAGAGAACATTTTGATGGTTGCCAGATGAGAAGGGTTTTCAGGGATGGGTAAAAAGGGGGAAGGGATTAAGAAGTACAGATTGGTAGTTACAAAATAGTCATTGAAATGTAAAGTATAAGGATTGTAGTGAATGATATGGTGTCAGATGTGTACTAGATTTATCGAAGGGGTCACTTTTTAAGTTATATAAATGTCTAGTCACTATGCTGCACACCTGAAACTAATATATTGTCAACTGTAATTAAAAATAAAAATTATTTAAAAAATAAACCCTTAAAAAATTCTGCTTTAATTTTGAACACAGTTAATGTTTATACATATAAACCACTAAAACAAACACGCTTTGGGATTTCAGTAAAGTTTAATATGATAAATTGGATAGTAAATCCAACAATTTTGAGAATTGTTGATATAATATGTTGGAAATCAATGCTGCTATAACATCTGTCAATCTTTCAACAAGTCTTTTATTTCTCTTTTTTAAATTGAGGTATAACTTATATAAAATACAGTGAACAAATATTAAATATATCTATGTTACCAACACCCAGACTCAAGTACAGAACATATACAACCCCCTGGAAGCTTTCATATGCCCCCCCAAAAAGCCCACAATTTTGACCTCAGCATCACAGATTTCTTTGTGTGTTTCTTATTTTTATTTACTAGAAATAACACAGGATGGACTCTTTTATTAATGTCTATTCTATCTCAATCAACAGGTTTATGAGGTTCATCTATATTTCTTCATATAGCAGCACTTCATTTTTTTTATTGCTGTGTAGTATTGCAATGTTTTTATACAATAAATATGTATACTATTATATATAACATGTAATATATTTAAATGTGGGAGACTCTCCAGCGCTCTGACTGTCTACGGTAACATCCCCACTCAATGTAAATTATATTAAATGCTTTATTCATTTTGCTCCCTTATCACCCACTATCCTCAGCATCATTCCTGCTCTTTCTGAGAACTGTCCTTTCAGCACTTCAGTTTATCAGTGTGGGACCTGAGAGAGTCATCTTACAATTACACAAGCCCTAAAGTACTTGATAATTTTAGATATCCTGAGTGGAAAACATAAAAATACAGGCATTTAAAGTTTTATCCAATTATAAAGACACTTATGTATGTTGATGTTCATAAAGGTTTCTTTTCTAGACATTCACTTTGCAATATTTTAATAATCTACTAAAAGTGAACTATTTTCATGATTTTAAATTTTTCTTTTGCTGCTATCCAAATGTATTATTTATTCTCTTCATAGAGTGATGCATGAAGGATATGGCTCTTGAACATTGGTTAATTATTTCAGAAAACACTTCGAAGACAAAACATAGACAATAAAAATGTTTCACTGGGCATTTGTAATAAGAAAAAATAATGATTACAACTGATTATAAAATGTCTTGAGCTAATGAATAATAAATTTTGGTTATCAATATTTTCATTCTCGTAAACTGAGAAGTGGAGAAAGACACTTGGAAACAAAGAAAAAGTGCAGCAGAGTCCCAGAAAGACAAGATATGTAAAACAAAAAGACATTTGTGGAAATCCAAGTAGCATTTCATTGCTTTTTCCTTATATTCTGTGAGACAATAGGTGTCATAATGTTACAGGTTTTTATTGAGATTTTGTTGTAACCCAAATATTTCAAATGTGTCAGCTTATTTTCCTCTTTCTTTGTTTTATTATATTTATCGGGGTGACTTTGGTTAATAAAATTATATGTCTCAAGTGTACAATTCTAGGATGCACCAGCTAAATATTGCATTGTGTGCCCACCTCCCAAAGTAAAATACTCTTCTGTCACCATATATATGACACACTTAATATATTAGTTGTTGCCACTGATACATTATAATAACTGAAAGCTGTAACACTGCTCCTTTTCCTTAGTTCTTCTGCAATTAAGCACTCGTTGGATATTACATTGAGTACATATCTGGAGAAATTAGAAAAGCAGGCACCCTCTATGTGTTAGTTCTCTTGGTGTCTAGCTTAAGAACCTTATACAAACCCTGCCTGAGCTCCTTGTTCTTGAGAGCATACACCAAGGGATTGAGGGCAGGAGGAATGACATTATGCAGTACATTGAGTAGCACTGGAATGATGGGAACTGTCAGTGCTGCACTATGGGTGATAGAAATAACAATGACAACTGTATAGAAGAAAAGGATCAGGATGAGGTGGGATGTGCAGGTACTTAGGGCCTTAGATGCAGCTTCTGCTGAGTTCAGTTTGAGCACAGAGTGAAGTATCAAAGCATATGATAAAATAATCAAACCCAGGTCACTACCCATTATTGTCCAAGCCAGAAGTAGCTGGTAAATACTGTTCATTGTTCTGTCATCACAGGAAAGACTAGTGACACCAAGATTAGAGCACAGACAGTGTTCTATTTGATTCTGTGAGCAGTAGTGTCTTTGAGCAGCCAATACAGGCACTGGAATAGTAGCCATGGTGTTTCTGAGTGCCATGAATACAGTTGCTTTGACCACAAAAGATGCAGTAATTATTGATGGATAGTGTAGTGGTCGACAAATGGCTACATATCTATCTATAGCCATGCAGACAAAGATACCTGACTCCATGCCTACAAAACAATGTATAACATACATCTGCAGAAAGCACTCGGGGAGACTGATGGCCTTGGCATGGAACCACAAGATGGCCAATATCTTGGGCATAATAGTTGTAGCCAGGCCCATGTCTACCACAGCCAGGATGCCCAAGAAATGGTACATAGGCTGGTGCAGTGTTGGCTCTTGATTGATGACAATCAGGATAAGAATGTTGGCACTGAGAGCTAAGAGGTAGAGCAGAGCCAGGGGCAGGGAGAGCCAATGCTGCCATCTGTGAATGCCTGGAAATCCCATCAGAATAAACTCCGAAACCTGGAGCATAGAGATGTTGGAGACTTTGATATTCTGGAACATTTTCACTACAAGGAAAAATATTCAAGGTTACCATTGTGAAGAATGTCTATGACAGTATTTGAATAGAAGTCACCAAGGCTTAAGATTCCGTTATTTTTTGTTCATTGATTTTCATTTTTATTCTAAGTGTTTCTTATTTTTATTTTTTAAATATGTTTTATTGATAGTTTAGAGAGAGACAAAGGGAGAGAGAGAAACATTGATGTGAGAAAGATACATTCATCTGCTGCCTCCTGCATGTCCCCTACTGAGGATAGAACCTGCAACCCGGGCATATGCCCTGACCTGGAATCAAACCGGACCTTTCAGTCTATGGGACGACACTCAATCCACTGAGCCACACTGGCCAAGTGATGTTTATTACTTTAAAATTAAATATATTGGGGCTACAATAGTTAATAAGATTATATAGGTTTCAAGTGTTGAATCTATAACACATCATCTGTTTATTACATTGGGTGCCCACCACTCAAAGTCAAATATAGCTTCATCACTATATATTTGACCCTTTTAAAATTTTACTTTGTACCCAGCCCCTCTCCCTCGGATAAATGCAACACTGACAGGGGGATTCTTCATTATTAGTGTTCATTATTCTCATTCTGTCACTAACATTTATTGGATATTTCTAATGAAGTAGAAACTGGTAGCACATTTTTGTCAGCACAATGAATCTTCACAAAAACTCCATCAGGCAGGTCACATTGTTTCCACCCTCTTCTAGTCACAGCTTAGAATATTAGAAATATCAGGACTTTGGTCATTAAGCTGGACAAAAGGAAACTGATCTGATATTATAGCCTTGCCTTTTAATTTTGGTTTTGCTAAAGGGTTTCCTTTTTAGAGTTTTAATGTACAGAATTGAGGTTAGAGAAATTTATGAATGGAAAAACTTAGGTAACAGATTAGATCATAGACTATTAAAAATGTTTTTAAAGAACATTAAACATTTTGAGGTATACATCAATATAATTTTATTTTAGAATAGTGGCTGAATTAGAGATATCAAGTGTTTCCTGATTCAGCTTCTATCCCTACATTCCTATTTTATCTCTATTTGAAATGAAGGATGAAAGGTTACATATTTCAAAAAACAACTATTTTGGAAACAGCAGAGTAACACAGCACAAACTAGTAGTTAATGAGTTTCCTGAAACACTGCTCTGGTATCATCACAAACTGAGTCATGCAGGAGTAGACAGAATATCAACAAAGCAAAAATGTGCAGGAGATCAGGATATTTTTCAAAGAATAAAAGAGTTGCTCTTAGACCTGAATTATGATTAGCATTCTGCTAGATTAGAGTTCTCTACTGTTGCTGTTTGCTATTATTTCTACTCAGATTACACTGATATTCTTAGCTTTGTGATCTGGCAATCCTGTTTTCTTTTGTCCACTCCCACCACCACATCAAGCTGCAATCATCACCTTCTTCAGGAAGACTCAACTCTCCCTCAGAGAGCATAGTCATCCTTTAAATCCTCAAACTGATTTCTTCAAACTGAGAAGTGCATTAAAATACAATTAACTAAGAGTCAGGTTTTATTCTCAATCTTGGGGTTGAAGCAATCTTTGATTCCAATTAAAGCATATATATTGGAAAGTGTCAACAAAGCAGAAGGTAGAGTTGATATTCTCTTAACACACTTAAGAATAAATCTACTTGAATCTACCCCAAACAAAAGGATTCAAAAATCTCATAAGTGATTTTTCAAGGTCACAGGATACAAGTTTAAAAATTAAAATTAAATAAATGAACGAATAAATAGAAAAAATCTTTCTAATATGATGAAATTGGGAAAGTGGTGGGGTTTGTAGGCAAGGAATATATTTGTTGGTAGATCAATCTCTTTTTATTTTAGTGTGATGGTATTATAAAACCTATTTATATTCTTGAATCAACCATAATTTATCCAAATCTCTAGTATTTGGACATATTGTATTACATTTCTATTTGCAGTGTCTAGGAAGACATCATACACATATTAGATGTCAACAGGTATATTTGAATGAATGTATAAATTAATATAGAAATATAGTATATTATCAAATAAACTAAGAGTTATTGTATTGTAGTTTAAGTAATATTTTTGGAAAGCATAAAATGAGCCATCATACAAAATAAAACACTGGTTTCTAGTTCATGAATCAACAAAAAACCTAAGTTTCTAAAGAAAATAGTTTCCCTTAAAAAAATATATGAATAAAAAAAATTCCTATCAAACAGAGATAGAATAAATCAGCAGGCAAAAGCAATATTTTGGTTTGTAATAAATATCAATGAAACTATACAGCAGTTTGACCATGTTTCACAGATTTTATATACAAATTTATGATAAATAATATGTACATCTATGTAAAAACTAAAAACATATTTTCAATATGTGAAAAATGTTAAGCAAATCAATTACAAAATATGCACAAAGATTATTTTTTGGTTAACAAAAATTGTACCAACACACTAAACACATGGCCCCATATCAGTTAGGAAATATTAGTATCAGACAAAATGGAATTCACATAAGTAAAGGTTGGATCAGGATCATTTTTGAGAAACAATAGATGACATGCTTAATTGACACAGTGCAGTTAATGCTGATTGTATTTAATTTTTTTTTTCTCCAGGTTTGATAAGGTTTTCCACAAGCAAAATAATAGAAAATATTGAAGATATCTTTTTTACTTCATTAGTCCATGGCAGACAATTTAAAATGGCAAATTCACTTAATTTAATTATAACTTATTAGCTAGCCCTCAGTTTACTGTTTAGCAATATTGGTGTAGACTTAAGTTAATAATTGTAAGACTAACTCAAGCAATATGTATTAAAGAGAACAGAATAATATGAGTTTACAATATAAGAATTCTTCCATGCATACCAACATTGTCATTAGTTTCTTTTTGTCTGGCTGAACATTTCTACTTAATGTTTGTATACAAAATCATATTTTTACATTGCTTTTACAAACATTTTTTTTTCTTTATTGGTTTTAGAGAAAAAGGAAGGGATAGGGAGAGAGACATAAAAACATTGATGAGAGAGAACATCAATTGGCCACCTCCTGCATGCCCCACAATGGAGATTTGGCCTACAACCTGCTCAAGTGCCCTGATTGGGAATCAAACCAGTGCCCTCTTGGTGCATGGGTGGATGTTCAACCACTGGGCCACACTGGTCAGGCTACATGGCTTTTAAAAATTGTCATTAAGAATGAAAAGTGTAACAACTATGTACGTATACATAAGCATATACCTACACACACTTATAATTGTAACAACTATGTACGTATACATAAGCATATACCTACACACACTTATAATTGATTACAGTGGGAAATAGCTTTGAAATGTTTTACTGAGCTGGTGTGGCCCAGTGATTGAGCATCGACACGTGCACCAAGAGGTTCGATTCCCAGTCAAGTTGTGGGCCTAATCCCCAGTGGGGGGCATGCAGGAGGCAGCCAATCAATGTTCTCTCTCATCACTGTTTCTATGTTTCTCTCTCCCTCTCCCTTCCTCTCTCTCTAAAATAAATAAAGAAAAAAAATTTTAAACATTTTATTGGGAAATATTTGACTAGTTATACAAATTACTAATATTTGATTAGTGCATCGAGATCATCGAATGTTGGAAAAATGTGATCATTACTCATTACTCCCTTAGAAGACTTTTAAAGACTGAACTCTATGCATCCATGCAACAGAAGGAAGTAGAAAAATTGGGGAAAGCACAGGTACCCATAATTTGAGAGTAGAAAATATATCTCTGAGATGACTTCAAGTCTATTCTAAGAGAAGATATTTTCTTTAGATGAGATAAATATCTTACCGATGTCTCTCTTGTTTTATTTTGATCTAGTGTTGATTGATAAAAGTGATGTTATTATTATATGAGTATGAGGAGTTAACATTCACCTCCATATATTTGCAAAACTCTCAAAGATAAAGCATATATTATTAACTAATATGGTTTTAAACACAAACTATGTTAGACTTTTTCCAAATTTAAATAATTTTGATATTTTAAAACATAATTTTTCTTCAGAGAAAATGCACTCATATTATGTTGTGAGTTGGCAGATATGTTGAAGTGGTAACATTAATACACAAATACTGCTATAAAGTACAGTTTAATCTTGTCTGCTCTCTATTGTAACTTTTGAGCCATATGGTTTCTCACTACAAGGTTACCAATTTTATAATCCAAGGTCTTTTCTCAGTAAAACAATGGGTTCCTCCAGGTGCATTTTGCTTTGTAAAGTGATGCAACAGTCACAAATAAGTCTCTTTAGATATAAAGCAATTAAACTAGATTCTTATTCTAAGATCAATGGAAGGGTAGCTAAAAAAAAAAAAAAAAGAGTATTCTGACCATTATTGATAACTATTCTCTAGCTGTTCTTCCTTCCTGTGATTCATGGAGGTGAATCATACCTGACTTCCACCACGAGAGAGCCAATGATTCATATAGGTTTAGGAAAATAACAAAAATATCCATACTCCTAATGCATAGAGACACTGAATTGTAATCTGGGAATTGTGGAATTAACATTCTCAAAAACAAAACAAAACAGTCTTTTACAACACTTTTGCTTTCAAATGTGTGTATAGAATCAAATCTGTATTTCTGAGACTATAATCAGGTTACAAAGGCTCAAAGATTCTCTCCAATTTATCTCAGAACCAACAACAACAAAAATCTTGTCAGTAGTCCCACTTGTGTGTGCCCTTTAATACCTGAGTTTCTTGATAGAGAAACAGTGGCTGAATGCAATTAAGTCCAGGTGCTTTGGGTATTGGTTAAAAAACCTCATGACTTTGCCATATATATACTTGCATAGCCATCAACCTCTAACTCCCTTGATATCGTATTATTTAGCTGAGTGTTTAAAGAAAATATGTTGTATATTTCCAGGGGATATTGCACAATATTAGAGACACAGGTGCTGGGATAAGAATCAAGCTAAACACTATTGGAGGAGGAAAAAAGTAGAAGTTTTAAAAAATTCTTACTGCCTATATGAGATCCACAAATAAAAGACTAATTTCATATGCATGTGTCTGTATCAGTGTGCTTGTGTGTGAAGAATTATATTTGGGATGGGGAAAAAAGAATGAACACAAGAAATTATAATGAAAATTAGTGATTCTAATATTTATTAAAGAGATTTTTTTCTTTCTGTGTAACAACACCCTTTAGGACACAAGTGGAAATAACTTACAATGTTTCAGAAAGTTTCCATCACTGTCACACAATTATGTTTTTTTTTTCAAGTACTCTTGTAGATGAATATCATGTCATTTTAAAAATGTACTTCCTGGCCAGTGTGGCTCAGTGGACTGAGCGTTGTCCTGTGGACTGAGAGGTCCCAGTTCCATTCTTGGTCAGGGCACATGCCTGGGTTGCAGGCTCAACCCCCAATAGGCAGCATGCAGGAGGCAGATGACCAGTGTATCTCTCTCACATATATGTTTCTATCTTCTCCCCCTTCCTCTCTGTATATAAAATTAATAAAAACATATTTAAAAAACAAAGAAATTTATCAAATATTGAACTATTGTACATACATATATGTCAGGTAAATCTTGATGTTCAAATTTTGAGATCGTGATGATGGTGATATTAACAATAAAAATAAAACCCAATAACTAACACTATTTTTAGATTACTTTAATTAAAAAGTAAGAATCATTTCTATACATTTTTATTAATTGGAAATATTACAATAAGTAACAGAAATAAAGAGAACTCATATGATATAATATAGAGGTGTCTTCTGGTACATATTTTAATATTCCATAGGTATTATGTTTTCATAAAAGATTGGATAACACCATATCAGAACAAATTTTTGCTATTTTCAATTAATGTTAAATAATAATCACATTCAGAACAAGATGATTCAGTAACATCATGATTAAATAATAGTATGTTATAGGAATCTACACAATTTCTTTAACTCTGTTTGTATCCTTAGACATATACATTCTTTTATTTTACAGAAAGTAATACAACAGGTATAAATGTAGAGAACACTTTAGCAATGTATTTTTCACTTAGTCTTTTCTTGGGGGGTGTGAAATTCATGTCATAAAATTGGCAATTTAAACCATTTGAAAATGTACAATTGAGTGTCTTTTATTTATTATTATTTTTTATCCTCATTTTTTTTTTATTTTTGCATTTACCTTCAGATAAGAGCGAGAGGGAGAGAGGGAGGAAGAGAGAGAGAGAAACATCGATGTGAGAGAGACACATCGTGTGGCTGCCACCCACATGACCCCAGTGGG